TATTATTATTATTATTGTTAACAGAAATGGGTTAACGCCAACATATATTATTGCTGGTAATATTTTTTCAAAATGTATTTATGGTAATTTTAAAAAAATGTATTGCTGGTAATAATGTATTGTTGGTTTATTTTCCCAAAAATGTATTGCTGGTATTAAAACCTATTTTTAAACCTTCATAGTGTTTTGACCCTAGTTTGGGTATTATTTATTTGCCCATATCTGGGACCCTAACAGGTGCTACCACTCAGGTCAGGTTGGACCTGAGAACAGCAGCAATTAACAAATGCTCCTCACAACCTCCTGATCGCTAGTGTTTTAAATAACAGTAAGATCGAAAGAGATGTTAGACATTTTGACGGTCGTTTCGAGTATAGAATCCAGAGGTTATCAGTGAATATTTCGGAGCAAAGTAGGAAAGCGTAGTTCTTCGCCGGACAAGTTAGCACTGGTCATTCAGGTAGGATAAACAAAAATGACCGCCTTTATACACGACAGATACAATGTTCTGCGGTTTCTGATTGGTTAATCTTCTATTGGTCGACTATAAAGGGAATTAAGTCATTTTGACTAACTCACTAGTTACACACATATATATACACAAAAACTGTAACAAGAGAGACATAAATAGACAAAAATAGAGTACGTCACAGAGAGGGTTTGGAAGGGGGTCATGTTAGATGTTGGGGTGAGGTGTTAAATCACGGTCTGTTGAGAAGAAATTCGCCGCCGAATTGCAAGTGGTCTTTTGAAAATGAAATATTTCTTCTTTTTTAAACTTATCTTCGCGAAAATCGCACCACATCTCATGACGTCACACATGACCAGTCGAGAGTGAATTGGAGAAGTATGAAGTATGAGAAGTGGTGCGATTTTCGCTTCTAGTGTCTTCTATGCACGTGTTTATCGTTGCTTAGAAATCATCTATGTAAACAATGACAGACTATCATCACTGTCTTGTCCGTATATTGCTTAATATTTTGTAATTGACATCTTTGATAATGGCTTATGTAAGCCGAAAGCTTAGATTGTATCAAAAATATGGATCAATATTGTGAATTTCTTTCTTCGTTCAATGATAATGTTATTAAACTTATCAGACGTTATGAAAAGATTTTATATAAAATAGACAACACTTGTCTATATTATTTAATGAAACGTATATATATATATATATATATATATATATATATATATATATATATATATATATATATATATATCTGATAAATTCTCAAACATGTAGATTTTGCAATATCAGCTCAAACCGCTAGGTTTTGTCTTCACAGGCTTTGCGTTTCTTACTGGGGAGATCCTGATTGCTACGTGTTGCTTGGGACATAGTAAGTGCAGAAGTGATTTCAGTTCTTTGGCTTTTGTGCACGTGGGCAATCGCTCTAAAATTGACTTTGTGGCTCATTTTGTACGAATTGGGCGTACGAATAAATGCAACACCTGCAAAATTACGGTCTTTAAAATTATTAAGGTACATTCGAGCTGCAGCAAATTCGTCCCCGCAAACATTGATTCTTCTTCGTGGGTGGGACCAGGTGGGAAGTGCCGATCGAGGTTAAGCAATTTTCGTTCCTTGGCCCACCGCTTTAAACTCGACCTTGATTTACATTTGCACGTAGGAAGCGTACAAATAAATATAAAACCTGCAAACATGTAAGTTTTACAATTATTAATATATGTTTGTGCTCAGGTTCATTACCATGGAATCAATTTGGGAATCTTTTGCTCCTTCGCCCATATAGGCATGGGTTTACACAATAAACTACACCTTGTATTACATTTTTTCTTACGAAATAGGCATACACATTTGTTGTGGATTCCGAGATGAATTCGGTCTCCAATGAGGAACAAAGGCAATAATTAAATATAAGAAATAAAATGTATTTACACAATCATACAAAGGGTAATACTATTAGTAACTCCAGGAACACGGTTAGTAGCACATACAGATAGATATATACAGTCTCGAAGTAGGGCTTCCTTAGAGTCTACGTGCTTGTATCTGACTTCTACAAGAGGCTACCTCACACTATCTCTGTTCGTATATTCTATCTCTCTTTCCGACTACCCTCTCACTATCCGACTACTCTCACTGACTGTCTAACTCTGGGTATTTAACGGCAGCAGTCCAGGTACACTGGTAGAGTCCACTTATATGAAAAAGGGGTGGACCCCATAACAATATATGCGCGAATTCTCGCTTTAAATTATTAGGTTGGTGCAAAAATAATGACGTAATAATGTCGTTTTTGACGTACTTTTCTACGTCAAAAACGACATTCTTACGTCATTATTTTGCACCAACCTAATATAATTTGGGGGTACGTGGTTAAACCGTGATAAATTCAGAATTCTTGTGTATTTATATTTATTATTATATACATTCCAAGTGCAAATCTTGTGCCGCATTTGAAATGATGTAGACCTTCTGATAAATACATAAAACCCGCGTTTTTTCAGGTTTACAATAATTAAGTTCAGTCCTATGTGGCAAACTGCCAAAAAATACTTCTCCCTCGGTAGAGGGCAAGGTTTAAATCTTGGTGCCTGATGTGATCCTAAAAAGGGGAAATCTATTGAGAATGGAACAATTTTTCCCTGGCATCTGTAAGCGTTGTACCTTTCACTTCAAAAATGGCCTCTGCTACATTCCATTTGTGTGTGCCTGCGAGCAAATGTTCTAATTATTAAGCTCAGTTCAGAGAGAGAGAGAGAGAGAGAGAGAGAGAGAGAGAGAGAGAGAGAGAGTTCATCCCTATAGAGAGTGGCGTCCCAATGTAGAAATTCCGAAGGAGGAAACATTTTTGTTAACTGGTACCCGTTACGCGTGGGATTTCCACATTAAACACGTTTTTTGACGTGTTCAATAAATTAATAACAGCACCAGAGGGTGGTTCAAACAGGCAGTACATTAGCCAAGAGGAAGAAACAAGATTATTCAGTTAGCTAAGTGCCAGATGTGATAGACGTTTGGGTGATCATATCTCTTTTGAGATATGACTGAGTAGGCAGAAGCTTTTTCTACAGTAAGTTGCCGCTTCTTTCTGCGATAGACCGGTTACAAACCAAGGCTGTGGGACTCATGGATCAGTCCGTCAGCTAAGTGCCATTGGTCAGACACGCTTAGACAATCATGTTTCTTTCGAGTCATGACTGACTAGTAGGTTGCGGTTTCTTTCTGTGCTAGACTGGATGCCAACCAAGCTTATATGACCTAATCTGCTATTTAACCCTTAGCTGGAGAGAGAAGAAATGCATTCATAATTTCCCCATTTGCATTTCTGCGTAAGTGAATGTATTTGGGATTTGAACTCGGCCCTCCGAGGTTGTCTCCACTGATATCTACGACACCAGAACGCACATGATTATTAACAGATTATTCGCATCTAAAACGTCCTAAAATTGCTGAAGGAACTGTAATCTGTGTCCCTAGCCCCGTGTCCTACCATAATCCATTCAATTGGGTATACAGATAAATCCTAAACCACCTTTTTTTTTACAAGCACCTAATTAAGGCCAGAAAGTACTTGTTATTACTACAATGTTAGACGTTGTAGTAATACCAAGATGTTGATAAAAACTCCCAAATAATGTAGATAATGTAAATAACTTCTCAAATCATCCAGAAATTCAGAGAGAAATCAGCTTTATGAAAGTTACAGTTATTGCACTTCTATAACTTTCACCACCACACATATACATATTAACCATTTCCTTATAAGGAAACATTCGAGATTCATTGAATGAACAGCAGATTCTACCGCCAGTTAAAATTTATAAATCTTTCTATTAAAACTGTTTCTCAGGAAAATATGTTCCTAAAGTCTACTAATTGTTATTGTGTTTTCCAGCATTGATGGGGGCATCCATACTAACGTTTTTTTTCCAACTAGCATAGTACATCAGCATCTCGACTATTGTCTCCTCAAGTGTGATATGCATTATATTTATTGCTACTGTTGAAAGTCCTCAAATGATGTGGTATCTGTTATTTCGTGTTTGTTTTTTTTGGGTGATTCGTGTCAGGAGGTTCGAACGATTGTTTTACTAAGACCAACAGATTTCATACGCCAAAAGCCAGTTTTTAATCGATTAGCTGAGAAAGCGGTTGTATACAGCTGAGTTTTTAGATATTTCTGAACGCGTTGTGCGCCAGGCATGACATCCATATGTAGGTGATTATTTAAGAACATAACTTGAGCTTTTAAGTTAACATTTTGTAGTAATTTGCGTTGCAAAAGGTAGCATATTCTAAGTTCAGTTTCCTTATCCATTTTACTTAATTTGTCATAACTGATCCATACACCAAGAACTTTAAAGTATTTGCTATTTACTAATTCCACATCAGGAATTTGTATAATGGATTCAGGCTGTCACTGCTTTCATTCTAGTTCTTGATCATAATTTCTGTATTGAAAAAGTTTAATTCACTTTTAACATTTGGTAGATGATGAATATAAATATGTAAGTAATTTTCCATATTTTGAGTGGAGACTCACAGACAAAATTTGAGTTTTATATTAGATATATTGATTAGAAATCTTTTGAATTTAAAAGTTAACGTTTTGTGTTGTAGAGTAGTTTTCACCTTGGAGGCTTGTATTTCAATAAGTCACTCTTAAAAGGGTCCGACGTACAAAACGTTAGGAACTTGAAATAAGAGTTAATGACGCAGCAATCTAGTTGTGATGGCTGATATTTCAGTGTCCGACATCGACTGACTCACTCAACTCCACTGAGCCCAACTAGCGACTGCTACTAATTCTACTACTTATTATGTGTGGGAGAGTCTATTACAATAGAATATGTAATCTTCTGGTATAACACGTTTTTTTTCTATTTCTGCAGCCCTGTCCTCTCGACAATTTGCTGTCTTCTCGTCTTGTCTTTTTTCCATTTTCTCCTATTGCCTTTTCCCTATCTTGTCCTTTCGTCTGTTTTCTGACACCTTCTCTTCTTTTTTATTTCCTCCTTCCGCCTCTTCTATGTCTCTTGCTTCTGCATCGTCCTCTCCACCTCGTTCTCTATCTTCTCCCATTGTTAGTTCTCCATTTCCCCGCAAACTATCTTATATAACCTTACATTCTTTTCTCCCCCTCTCTTCTCTTTCAGACGCATTTCTCTCTCTCAGCTCTTTACTTTTTCGTTCCTGACACCTCTTTTTCTCCCCCAACCGTCTCTTCGCTATCTACTCCTCCCTTCACATTCCTCCCTCTCACCCTTACTCCTTTATTCGCTCCAACTTTGCTGTTATTTCTCCTTGTGACTTCTCCTTCCTCCTCTTAAATATCTCCTTCCCTTGAAACTTTTCTCTTTGAGGCATTTACTTTCTCCTTGTCGTCTGTTTAACGCAATCCTCTCGTCTTCTTTTTCTTTTTTAATTAACCACCCTCTTTCTCATTATAGTTTACATTTTTCTTCCTCATTTACTCACTGTATTTTCCTCGTATGACATGAACTCTACTCCTTTTTGTCCCTTTCCCACTCTTTCTTATTTTCTTACTCTCATTTTTATCTACCTGATCCTTCAACCCTCTTTATTTTCTATCCTTTTTGTTTCTTTCTCGCTCTTCATCATTGCGTTTTTGTTCTAAACATTCTAGTTACATTCTCGTTGAAAATATAAAGAAAAGAACCATCTTTTCTTTACATTTTCAACGTCTGGTTCTTCGTTTAGTTCATTCCTTTGTCCTTTTCTTCTTCTTCTTCTTCTTCTTCTTCTTCTTCGCGCGTTCTTCCTCTACATCCTCATCCTTTGCTGACTACCTTCATCACAACGGTAAATGCCGAGACGTATGCATTTTTCGAAGGCAGGATGAGGAAAAAGATGACGATTCTGAGTAGAGATACGTTAATTGGATGCCTATGTGTGGCGAACTCTGCTTGGGGCATTTCTTTTTTCAATTTACTCGGGGAGATTTGTTCAGTTATTTAAATCCTTGATTTAATTCATTCCTCACTTCTTCCATATGATTTGTATTTTTCTCTTCTTCTTTCATTAACTGCCCGCTTTCACCATTTTTCTATTTCGCTCTCTTCTACGGTCTACTAATTTATTCTTTTGTTTTATCAACAATCTTATCATTTCTTATCTTTTCGTCTTCTTTATCATCATTATCTTCTTTTTCTTCTATTTCTTCTTCTTCAAATCTACTCATTTTATTCAATTTCCTCTACTTCTTCATCAAACGTTTTCTTTCGCAATTGGTTGCTGTTGTTTTTATCTTCTTCTTCTCTTTCTTGTTCTTGTTCTTGTTCTAGTTCTTTTTCTTTTTCTTCTTCTTCTTCTTCTTCAAATCTACTTATTTCATTAAATTTTTTTTTCTTTTTCCCCAGTGTTCTTTCTTTCTTTCTTTCTTTCTTTCTTTCTTCTTCTTCTTCTTCTCCTCATCCTCCTGCAAATCTACATATTTCATTAAATTTTCTTTTCTTTTTCACCAGTGACTTTTCTTTTCTTTCTTTCTTTCTTTCTTTCTTTCTTTCTTTCTTTCTTTCTTCTTCTCCTCCTCCTGCAAATCTACTTATTTCATTAAATTTTCTTTTCTTTTTCACCAGTGTCTTCTTCTTCTTCTTCTTCTTCTTCTTCTTCTTCTTCTTCTTCTTCTTCTTCTTCTTCTTCTTCTCTCACTGCTCCTTACAATCTACTCAATTTTCTCTTCTTCTTTATCAATGTCTTATTTAATTTCTTTCTTCTTCTTTTTTACACTTTTCTAAGCCTATCTCCCTCTAAAGATGTTTTTCTTCTTCTTTTATTATACTCCTTATTCTTCACTTATCTTCAAGGTATAATTCTAAATCTTCCGTCTTTTTCTCCCCTCCTGAATTTTATTCTGTACCATTCGCCATTATCCTTTGTTCTTCCATATCTTCTTCCTTTGTTATCCTTTACTTTCTCACTTTCATTTACAATTTTATTTGTATAAAACTTTGTGTTTTTCCAATTTAATGTTGGTCTATTCTCTTGAAATTGACTGACAAATTTTCTCTCTTTCTTTCTTCTCCGAGTTATTCTTACAATCTAATTGTTATATTTCTAATTTTTATTTTTAATCTATTTCTTTCTTCGAGATATTTTTTCTTTATTCTTCAACATTCGCATGTGTTATTTCTTTTTTATGTTCTTTCTTGAGCCATATTTGTTTCGTTCTTGGAGGAGAACTTTTTCTTCATTAATATTTCTTTTTTCTTCTTTCTTAGTTCTATTTCTTCAATTCTGTTTTTTCTTCAATTGCAAGCAAATTTCCTCTCATTTTATACCAGTTTCTTTTATGTTCAAATACTTTATTTTTCTCTTCAACATTATCTTCATCTAGTTCAAATCTATTTCTTCTTCTTCTTCTTCTTCTTCTTCTTCTTCTTCTGCTCCTCTTTTATATCTACTTATTTTACTCAACTTCTTCGTCTTCTTTTTCTTCTTCTTTTTCTTCTTCTTCTCTCCTCCTCCTACCTCTCCACATCTACTTATTGTACTCAATTTCTTCTTTTCTTTATCCTCCTCCCCCTACTTCTTCAGATCTACTTATTTTACCCAATTTTTTTCTCTTCTTCTTCTTCTTCTTCGTTTCTGTTTTTACACCAAATCTAATTCTTCTTTAATTCTTCTCTTCAAACCTACTTAACATTTGTACTTTTTAAATCGTTCTCTTTTCTTTAAATCTATTCATCATCATCATCATCATCTTCTTCTTCTTCTTCTTCTTCTTTTCCACCACAACAACCACCACCACCATCCTTACCAAGTCAATTTCCTCCTCTCCCCTTTTCTCTTCACTTCTTCCATCGCCTCGCCTTGTTTTTGTTGTCTTTATATAGGAAAAAAAAGATTCTTTGAGTAATGTTTCGCTTTTTCTTTTTAACTGAGTGCGTGACTATTCCCCGCCGTAGATTCTATTCTTGCAGACATTTTTTTCTGTCTGTCTTTCTTCAGTTCGTCTCACTTTATTTTATAATTTTGCTTCCGTTGTCTGTTGTCGAGCGACTTCCACGCTGTGGCCAGGGGGCATGTTTAATAGGTAAAGATGTTAAAAAGAAAAGAAAACTCGCATTGAACGTGGTGTTGGCGTGAAAATGTCTTCGGATCAGTAGTGGATCTAAAGAAAAGAGAAGAAAAGAAAAAAAAAACTGTTTACTTATGCCGGGAATATAATTCCGTCATACTGGCTGTGATATTCAGTCCTAACATTTGAACAAAACGAGAAAAAATATTTTCAGTTTTTTTTTTTGTCTTTTTTATCAATGTCCGAGAATTGCTTACAAACATTTCGACTTTTTCTGGCGCTGGTCTTAGCCAATTAGCAATGTCAGTATCTTTCGAAAAATGATATCTTTGCTTTATGTTTTTGCAAAAATTCTTATTTTCGTTTTCTTTCAGGGTGCTGGAAGCAAGCCAGTGTACGAATTGCCGCATCAGAATACGAGGAATGTGACTGATTTGCTGGTTAACATGAAACTAAAGTTTTAACGACCTAGCCTGTGAGGCATCGCCACATTAAAAGTTCTTGCTTCTTTGTCCAATGTATAGATCTATTCCACTGACAGATGCTCACATAGACAGACAACTTGCAAACTTTTCCCCTTTGTTCAAGTAAAACAAACCAATTTAAACCTATCCCATCGATGATAAGTTAGCGATATTAAAACTGTGTTTGTTTAATGAAACATCAAATATATTTTATACCGCCAATCCGTTTTCTCAACTAACCGAAAATAGATGGCCTCCAGGACATATATACCAAGCTGATTTATTTTTGTAGTTTTTTTTAATGATTTCACTCTACGCAAGGCGGTAAAGCCACTGAGACAAGAGGTTACTGAGTATGAAATTATAAAAAAAGGAGAAATATTACTAAGGAGCGAGAACAATAGAAAATTTTTCATGAAGACAACGATTGAAATTGCATTTAAATTTTTGAAGATCTAAGTTGACCGGAAATCATGGAGCCTGAAGAGAGTTCCACATGCGAGAAGTGCGAGAAAAGACACTGTTAGCATAGAACTTACCGTTACATCTAGCCAATTTGACTGTGAATTGATGAGACCTTGCTGCCAATCTAGTACTGCGCTTAAATTCATAAAGTCTAGATACGATAGCGATGACTCCTTCCGAAACAATTACCATGCAAGTATTTATAAGAAGAAGGAACAGGGAAGCTACATTAAGGCAGTGGGAAAGTGACTGAAGCCGAGATGCCAGGCCCGTCATCCATACGTAAGAGATGAGCTTTTAAGTTAACATTTTGTAGTAATTTGCGTTGCAAAAGGTAGCATATTCTAAGTTCAGTTTTCTTATCCCCTTTACTTAATTTGTCATAACTGATCCATCCACCAAGAACTTTAAAGTATTTGCTATTTACTAATTCCACATCAGGAATTTGTATAATGGATTCAGGCTGTCACTGCTTTCATTCTAGTTCTTGATCATAGTTTCTGTGTTGAAAAGGTTTATATTCAGTCATTATTCTTTTAACATTTGGTAGATGATGAATATAAATATGTAACTAATTTTCCATATTTTGAGTGGAGACAAGTTTTTTTTCTATTTCTAAAACCCTGTACTCTCGTCTGTTTGCTGTCATCTCGTTTCGTCTTTTTTTCCATTTTCTCCTATTGCGGATTCTCCTTTGGATTAGATTTTATCAAGAATCTCTACATATACAACATAAGCACAGGACCATATGCGGCAGCAATATGCAATGCATGCGGAAATGGCAGACTTAGAAATATGTAAGATAGATTTTGCCGAAAAAAAAAACTGTCTAGAACCACACAGTGAATTAACTTTCGTGGCAACAAACCTAGGAGAAGAGAAGTTTCATTTTGGGGAAGTTAAAATTAACATGCTATTCCTTGCTCCGGTTAACAAAGAATGTAGCTTTGTTTTTGGGGGATTTTTGTTTTTTGTTTTTAGATCAGCTGCCAAATTTACCTTATCGAACTGATAAAACAGAATAGAAATTGTCGGTAATGTTTAAAGGAAGATTTTTTTTTAGCGTTTACTAACTGAAAAATAAAATTGCATGTGATTTTCCCGGGGAGCGATTTTTTAATGATTGCAGAAATAACAGCTTTAATACTAAAAAGGAATCGAGTTTTAGAGGTTTTACAAGACGTCGTTTTATGTATAGCCATCATTGCCAACGAGAATTAAAATCATTTAACGCTGTCCCATCGTTGGCTTAAGAACGACGTCATATATATAATAAGCTGAAATGTTTTGTTTTTTTTAATCATTTCCCCCCACGCAAGCTGGTAAAGCCACAGAGACACAAGAGGTTACTGAGTATGAAAGAATGAGAAAAAAGGAGATACATTATTAAGGATCGAGAACAATAGAAGAGTTATCAAGAAGACAGATAACGATTGACATTGCATCTAAATTTTTGAAGATCAAAGTTGACTGGAAATCTTCGAACCCGAAGAGAGTTTAATGAAACAATTTATATATGTGCACATTTGTAGTTAAGATTAAAAGCAAGCCATGATGAACAGTTGAACCCATTATAATGTTCCATAGTTCACCCTAGAACTCATGCGGAATTTATATAATACGATCTTTCACTGAAGTTGCTGGAAAAATTCTGGACTAATGGTATCGCTTCAGTAAGTGCTTGATTTTTTCCGACAATCTTTAAAAAAGTCAGATAATATTTTTTAAAATAGTTTATTGCAGCCATATCTGGTCTGCAGTTGATCAATCCTCACTTTCCAAAGTTCAAGGTCATTTAGGTGACCTTGTGGTGAGAGTAAGTGATTTTGCATCCTGCGGCCACTTTTCTCACAGACGCCACTTCGCACGCCTATCGCTAACCTATGGCTGCATACATTGCAAATGTTTGGACAAACTCTTTAATGCCAACATTTCCGACCTTTATAGCTTAGACTTGCCTTACTACGTGCACAGGTTTTAATCAATCTCATTTCCACCGCATTCCATTCGTAAGAAGCAATTTGCACATCGAGAGGTTCTTCCGAAGAATCTCTAATTTGTGGAAGACGCTCCCGCGTGGACGCTTCCCTAAACACAACAATTTTAACCTCTTTAACTCTAAGGGTAAACCGTTATCCATCATAAATGTTCTCGTAATTTTCATTTTCTACTTTCTCCTCTTACGTTGATATATCACAGTACATTCCGTAACCTCTACATTGAGTGGCTCTTGAACCTTGTATCGTTTGAAAATTAGTAAAATATAAAGCTGAATGTGAATAATAGTAAATTTGGTATTGTTGAAAAAACTAACCTGGCTGCTGATCTCGAAAAGGACATCCAATTTGTGTTTGACTGGGTCAGGAAATGGCTTGCAAACTTTAATGCCTCCAAAACGAAACTGCTCTCCTTTACACACCACAGAGAACCCTCTCTGCCTCGCATCAGAATGGTTGATTCCTAACTCCTCTAAAGCGCCTCGTTATACATGCTTGGTCTCACGCTGTCCGCTGACATGAGTGGAACAAATAAATTGAATCAATAGCTTCATCTACCGCAAGGAAAGTTAGTTCTCTATGTCGTGTCAGAAAGTTTTTCTTGTCTGAGTCCATCCTTCAAATCTATAAATCAACCATCCGTCCTTGCATGGAATATTGCTGTCATATATGATCTGGTGCTCCCACTGTACGTCTCGAGGTCCTCGACAAAATCCAGAGACGAATATGCAATGTGATAGGTCCTGATCTGTCATATAGTTTACAGTCACTTTCTCACAGACCTGTTGTAACTTCCATCCGTCTCGTCTATAAGTATTTTCACGGCAACTGATCCGACGAGCTACTTTCGTGGGTTCCCAGTCTGCATAAAATTAAGCGAGCTACAAGGCCGGCATCTCGGATCCTACCTTTTCACTGTTGAAACGATTAAATGTAACCGTCTCCTCTACTCAAACAGCTTCTTCTCCCGCACTTCCCATCTGTGGAAATTCCTTTCTCTGGCTTGCTTACCCAATAAGCATGTAATTGAATTCGTATACCACAACGTTTCGGTCGTTGCGTCCCCCGGCATTCAGATACTTGTCGATCAAGAGAACCTTCAGGGAATTTAGAACTTAACCCTTTATTTAATGTCCAGTGATACATTGCTTCCATTCCGCTGCGTATGTCTACGAATATTGCTATTCCATGGCATTTGTTCCGACGAGCGACATTCACTGGTTCAACGGTGAGTAAATACTTGCGTCGTATTTTCTATTGGTTGTCTTATTTTAAAGAGCCAATCAGAAAAGCCTTAATATTCTGATGTCATCGAACGTTATACCAACATGTCCGCGCCTTTTCATTGTGTTTTGTGCATGTGTTTTGCATAAAAAAGATCGTTTTTAGTATGAAGCGTGCAAAGTCTCAACCTGGACCGTCAGAGAAGCAATCAGGAAGTTATATTTTTGTAACTGCTTTTATATCTACCGTAAAATATTACATACCAATTATTTGCGAATTTAGACTCAAGAGCTTAGGCAGAGGGGTTAAAATTGTTCAGAAACGCAAGGCTCAAAAGGTTAAGCCAACATTGGCTGACCTAGGGATTGAATATCCCGAATCAAGGCTTTAATTCCTTATGTCATAGATGTGTGCGTAATTAGTATTGTTTATAGGCTGATGGCATTTTG